ATATGGTACTAAGAAAAATTGCTTATGTTTTCAAGATCTACACGTCGTGTAAAGGAAAACCCCAACTTTGCGGACACCCTGAATATATATATATATATATATATAATATAATATGTACTGATTTACGTCAAAACAAACCTGGATAACTTTAGTTCTATGAATTCTGGAATTTACAGTACCAGAAACAGATAAGTGTTGTAGGTACCGTCACATAGGTTGTCGAGAACGGAGGAGACTCCCAAATACATGGCAATAAGACCCTTCAACAGACTACCTATTGATCTTAAATCTCTTCCGCAGACATTACTTAAATAAAGAAACAGGCAAATTTTACTGGCTAAAGCTTTCTACGCTATAGAAGAGTTTTAAATGTGTGATAGTCTTGTTTAATTGTTTTAATGTATCTGCTTAATTTCAAATTGTTGTCATTTTAATTCATTTTCACGTGTACACCTCGTATTTTTTATTTGATATTTTGAGTATTATGTATGATGTACGTATGCAATTCTTTTCATACAAATATTCTATTGACTTATCCTATATCACTTTGTGATCCACAAGATGAATAAATTATTATTATTATTGAAAAATACCGATATCAGCCACCTCGACTCTAATCTTCCCGGAGTATTGGCGCATTCGCGAAGCGTCGCGCGACGGTGTGTAAAGAGAGAGAGAGCAAGCGTAATTTCGCCATGCGAGATGTATTACCCGTGGAAATCGATATTTATGATTGTTGGGGTTACCGGAATCCAGAATTGATTCAGTTTGGAGGTTTGTTTTGGGCGCGCAATCAGTCGTGGCCTTCGGAAACGTCAGACTGCATCGATACGGCACTCTTTAACAATTATCCAGCAGAATGGTTCGTGTTGATTAACTTTCTATTCGCTTATGCCGCTAATAAGTTACAAAATTACACCAAAAATGCACTAGTCTTATGATTTGATATTGAGCAAAAGTATCAGAGCTATCATTTGTTCATAAATTTTGTTATAAGTATGTTACACCCTAAAATACCAAGAGACTAAAAACATTTTAAATGGGTTTTCGTCTTGTTTTTTTATTCAAAACACAGTTCACCCGCGTTTTAGAGAACCGCGATCATACAGAGTGATTAAAAAAACTATTGCAGCATTTATAGAGCAGAAAGTACATCCAAAAATAACATAAAATGTTCTTATAAATAGAGGTATAGGGTACCATTACCATTAACGAGATACAGAGTGTTGTAAATTTCTATGCCACTGATATGACACTGAATAAGGACAGAACCTGAATATTGTTCAAATCACGCTATCGTGACATAAAATTGCCCTGCCGTACTGAGTACAATTCTCCTAGTACGAGGGATCAAAGATTTTACCTCAAATATTCAAATTAATTTGTCTAAAAAAGTATCAGTCTGGCAAAAATTTCTCAAGAGCGGTGATTCATGTAAATATGAACATCTTATTCAATAATGTAATAGACATTTTAAATAATATAAGAGGCGAAGAGAAATTTAATATTTTCCAGCAGCGGTAAAAATTTCCCAATCTTTACACCAGCGTTAGCGTCAGCGTGTATGAAATTTCGACTTAATACCTTCATTCCACTCGTGTCACTTTTGCATTTTGAAAGATTGAACATTTTTCTTCAAAACTTATTTCACACCATACTGTTAGTTACATTTCGGAAAGTTGAAGATACGAAGTCAATAATGTGCTTTTATAGTATAGTCTGATTCTACATTACTTTATTCTCGATATCTCAAGATGGTACTCAACAACGCTTATTGGAACAAACCTTTCTCAAATATATAATATGAAATATAAATGCCAAAAGAAGGCGAAATCTCAAGCAAGTTTTCAATTCAGCTTGTATTTGTTGTTGTGCACTTTAGATACTTAGCTATTTTGTTATACTCTAACTACCACGAAGGCCAAATACCTGAACAACCATGGGCAAAGAGGGGTAATATGGGAATGCAGTGGAAAGGAGGGGGCGCCACACGGACTGTAGCGAGGGAACACGTGTGCATCCATAGCCAAGAGAAAAATTGTTTTGGAACGAAATTCGAACTCGCGCAGCGCGCGGCGTCTATCTATTTATCTACCTATCTACCACAACGCCACCGCTGCTGTCTAAACTGCTGCAATATCTACAGGAAACTTAGTGGTTTCATTCAAATTGATTTTTAATTATTATCTTATTTTCAATTGTATAATACAGGGCGGTCCATAAGTCCTTTGAAATTTCAAATTTGAATAAAATTTAACGGGTGAGCGTGAGCGGCGCGGGCGAGCTGGGGGCAGTATCTTCAGTGTCTGGGAATTCAGTCGCCATGGAGTGTTTCACTGGAGCGGATCGTGCTTTTTGTGTGCGCGCGTTTTATCAAATTAATGATTCGGCAACCATTGTGCGGCGTAAATATCGAGAATACCACAATTTACACAATTTTACAAAGTGTCCAACAGCTCAAACGATTAAGAACTGGGTTGCTAAGTTCGAAGAGACTGGTTCGACGTTAGATAAACAGCGGTGGGGTCGACCAAGGACAACTCGTATTGAAGAAAACATCAACATTGTGGCACAGTCTGTTCGTCAAAATCCTACCCAGTCTAGTCGTAAGCGTTCCAGTGCACTAAACGTACCCAGAACATCTTTACAGCGGATTTTAAGGAAAGATTTACGTCTGCACGCTTACAAAATTCAGTTAGTGCAGGAATTAAAAGATAATGACGCTATTCAGAGACTAAACTTTGCGAATGAAATGTTGAATCGATTTTCTTCGTTCAATAATGTGTTGTTCTCGGACGAGGCTCACTTCCATTTAAACGGGCATGTAAATAAACAAAATTGCCGTTATTGGAGCCCCGAAAATCCAAGGCGTAAGCATCAGAAGCCCTTACACAGCCCTAAAGTTACAGTTTGGGCTGCTATGTCAGCGCATGGCATCGTAGGCCCTTATTTTTTTGAGGACGACAGAGGTCGCGCATTAACTGTTACTTCGGAGCGGTATGTAGCAATGATAGAAGAGTTTTTGACACCAGCGTTGCAGAATTTTCCAGGCTAAAATACGCAGACCTGGTTTCAACAGGACGGAGCAACTGCCCACACCTCCAACACTTCTATGCCCGTCGTCTGTCAACTTTTTCCCAGCAAAGTAATTTCTCGAAGAGCAGACATTTCCTGGCCACCACGTAGTCCAGATTTGACCCCAATGGACTTCTTTTTATGGTTCTACCTCAAGAGTAAAGTGTACGACACCACTCCGCGATCAGTTGATGTCCTGAAAGAAAATATCCGAAGATAAATGGCAAGGATTACAGTGTTGACTTGCCGCGCAGTCAACGACAATTTTAGACGTCGTTTATATGAGTGCCGTGATCGTAATGGATTGCATTTAGACGATGTGATTTTTAAAACATAATTCCCATTCAATAAAGATGATAACAAAATATAATAATTCTTCATAATGTAACTAGTTTGGTTTTATTCCTTTTTTTTCCAGCTCAAAGGACTTATGGGCCACCCTGTATAATTGGACAGAATAAGATTCTAGCCCTACGATGTAATAATACACATCAGCTTCGGCGTGCACTTTAGCAGGTTGAAAAATGTCCCATCAATACATATAAATGACACAATAATAACATTTAAACGAAAAAAAGAGTACGAGAAATAAACGAACTTGGATAAAGACGATAAAACGCTTACCTAAAAACATGTAGATGCTTAGATACGACTCAGTGCTTCCATGCTCAATCAAAAAGATTTTTAATTATTATCCCATTGTCAACTGTATCAGGTAGTTCAATAAGTAGGTTCTTGAACACGTCAAGCTTAAGGTTGAAGTGGGGGTATGACGTACACATTGCTCACTAATCGTGAGAATGTTTAAAAAGGTCTGCACGAAAGACGCCCGAACTAGATTCAGAAATCCCTCACGGTCATGACAAACTACAAAAACAAAGGTTGACGCATGAAGATATGTTCATTAATTACAGCAAATCAGCCCTTGTTACACGGTACTAACACAACCGTTGATTAGAATAAGTTAGACCGTTATTGGATGGCTACCGTGCCCTTCTGAAAATGTTCAGGATCATTTTGCGCTCCTGGAGATTTATTTCTACCTAGGTGTATAAATATGTGCGTTCGGATGTTTTTTAAATACATAGGTAATAAATTTTGAGTGCTTTACTTACACAAAAGCGGAACCGAGTGTAAAGCTACTACTTTTTCATTATATGTAGCCATGTTTCTTTATTTGTGTAGCACAAAATTCAATGTGAATTATAGGTATCCTGTTGTAATTTACTACTGTTCGCTATGTGTGTCTTTTTTAGTGCTGTAGCTTCCAGGAGATTTTCTGATTTGTGAGCGTAGTGATAACAATATACAAAGTGATCGTAATTGATTAGATTAATTGGAAATTGAAATATGCCATGTACATTAAAGTAATATTCATTTTTACTTTCCACGCCAACTGCCGAATTGTAGTCGAGACAATGTTTGAAAACAAATGTTACGCTCTTTGAATGTTGTCACGAAAAAACACGTCCCTCATTTCTGTATTTCTGTCGATTTGCCTGTCTGCTTATCGTTGACCGCTTTATAACTTTGAAAGAACCCCTGGAATTTTTATGGAATTTGGAGACAAGGATAGTAGTAAGCTCAGGACGGCAAGGCTCTGTAGTTTTTGTAAATCGATCCAGTGGAGGTGGTGCAATAAACAAGAAGAAAACAAAAAAAAAAGAAAATCGCTGAGACTTCTTTTATTTGGCGTTTCGTCATTTTGTGGAATAAAAAAGTGGAGATTGCGGCTTGTAGGCGGTGGGCGGAGTGAATCTCAATTTTTTGCGTTAGGATATTTATACTCTTCTAACTCCGGTGATTTTACACACCCATTAGACATATATCACTATAGATTCACGACTTGACTTGATTTTCAAGCTACTTGACTTGACTTGACTTGATATCAAGTCAAGATCAAGTCAAGTATTTGTTTTTGAAATTCAAGCTCTTGGGTCAGAAATATATTTGTCGATTTCGTAACGCCAGGCCATATCGTCGTCTGCATTATGGGCAGGTTTTCTATTAAACAAACTTAGTAGATCTATTTCAAACTTTTCGACACTACTATCTTTACTAGGGTTTGAAGATGCTGCTACTTGAAGTGATGGTTCAGAAATTTGCAGAGAGTCAGCCCTAAAATATTGTGCTTTAAAAATATCTTCAAAATGTTTAATTGCTTCTATCTGCAACTCTTTTCCCCAACTTGTATTGGAGAATGTATCCACTTTATGTTGGGGGTCTAAAATCAGGACAACACAGTACATCCAGTTAGTCCGTTGGTAATGTCTAATGATTTTGTCCCTTGCCGCTTGAATACTATTTATAATCTTTTCATCGATTTCATCTCGATCAGGTTTATTGTCAAGTACCATAGTCCACGATTCTAGTCTATCCAGCAACATATTAATGCCGATTATTACCATGGGTAAAGTAGCATATGATTCACTTTCTAAAATTATGGAAATACTCTTAAAAACATTAAGGTACTGGCAAATTCGTTCAATTAACGACCATTCTGCGTCGGTTGGCTTTAAAGTTTTTAAATTTTCTACATTATCACAAAGGATGTTAAGTGCGTTTCTCATATTTAGACTCCATCTCAACATGTCTAACGTGGAGTTCCACCTTGTTATGACATCAAGTTTTGGCATAGTAAATTTCAGGTTTAAAGTGGTGCAAAATTTTTCAAAATCTTCACGTAAATCTTCAGAGTTTTTTAATTTTTTAGCAAGGGAATGGATTTTTCTTACAGAAGAGGGCGGAACTTGGCAGTCATCATCATCATCATCTGATATATCTGTCAAAATGTTGGCGGTTTCTTCAACCTCAGAATCAAGGATTTTCATAAAATCTCTAGCTGCCAAGTTTAAGATGTGTGGAAAACATACAAAGTGGATATTTTTTGTATCGATTTCAGAAATATGCGTTTGAAGTTCTCTGATGAACGTAAAATTACTATTTGTATTGTCGGTAGTAATACCTTGTATGCATTTTGTAACATCGTAGAATTGTAATACTTCGAAAAATAGCTTTGCAATTGCATTACCAGTATGTTGCCCATGTGCTGGCACAAAATCTAGAAGGATACAATGAAATTTCCAATTTTTATCGATAAAATGGGCGGTAATACCATAGTACCCCTTCATATTAAAAGAAGACCATCCATCGATTGTGAACGAGATTTTTGAATTACATGTTTTCAAAAATGACTTAATTGTTTGCTGCGCTGCTGCAAATGTTTTTAATGTCAAAGATTTCATTTGATTCCGACCAGGTAGAGTTGCCTTTGGATTTAGGAATTTGTACATTTTTCCACTTATAGCATCTTCAAAAAAGTTGAAAGGGAGATACTTCTGTGCTATATATTCCACAAGTAGTTTTTGAAATTTGTCTTGTTGAAAGTTTTCTGAACAATTAGTGGTCTGCAAAATAAACAAAACTGGAGTTAGTAAAATGCAGCGCAAGGTGCATGAATGTTTACGTCATAATATCCCACTTTTAAATGAAAAAGTAAGTAATTTTTTTGAAATGCCCTGTATAAAAATTTATAGCATGTCCGACAATTTTGAATAGAATGTCTTAAAGTCAATATAGATTTTTGTAAATATGCTCTGATGAGTTTTATTGATGCAGGGTGCCCAAAAACTGCTGCACCGACTTCAAAATCAGAATTTTAAATGAGACATCATTACACAATTATAACAACAAACAAAAATTATGTTATATAATAAAAAAGCGGTTTTAAATTAGAAGTCGACAGTACTTCTTATATTTAAAAAACTTTTAGAATTGTTATCCGAAAGTTGTAATTTTTTCCGTTCAAGAGCCGCCTTTTATTTAATATTTTGATATTTCGCCTACCTCGATATTTATTAATAATTTATTAAACCTTTTTAATATAGAATGACTTTTAAAATCAAGGAACCTATAATGATTATAATAAACATTATAAAACTATAAGTGTGGCTTAAAATGAGCTGATCCGGATTTTGGAAAAAATAACTTTTTAAGGGGTTTTCGTGATCAAGCAATCCAAATTAGGCATTTGTTTTTTTCTAGCATGATTCCTTTATGTGTTTTTTTAAAGATTTTTCAAAAATGGATGAAGTTGGAATAAACAAATGAAGGATTCTGGTGCAGCACTTTTCGGACACCCTGTATAAATAAAATTCTAATAGGTAATTTAATTTTTTTTGATTGCCAAGAATCTTTTATATAATTATTTTTTTCTACACCCTGTAGTTTCTGAGGAAGAGGTATGCTTACGCCCCTAATAAAATGTCCACCCTGTACAATTATTTACTATTTAGTTTCAGCTCAAATCTAATTATTATTAATTTTTTACCTTCTCAAGCCAATTTGTAATTGTGCTACGCCTATTCGAACTGGCAGAGGCTTCTGCTTCGGATTTAGGTGGGCTGGATCTACCAAAAATGTTTTCGTAGACTCTAGTGTGTTTATGCAAATGCCTCCTTAGTGAAGATGTTCCACAGTTTTTCATTTTTAAAACTGTATTTTTTACGACACATAGGGTACATTTGCCTTGTTTGTCAGTAGTTTTCTTACTCTTAGGATCCTGCTCGATTATGAAATAATCCTTAATTTTATTCGTTTTATTAGCTTTAACTCGCTTTCCCTTTGGTGGCACCGACCCTGCACTTTCTTCTTTCGGGTTCGGTGTCATCAGATTCTGACACTTTTTCATTTACGATATATTCTGCTTTGAAAAGGTTCCGACTCCATTTCTGACAAATCACTTCTTAAATCAGACATAATAATTCTTTTGCGGTCGCCCTTTATCCTTGAACAACGCTGCTCTACTAATCGCACGAGCACGTCCGTCGTCATCGAGTGCCTGCTTGCTGTGTGAATCCCCTATTTAACCTCGGTGAATCCCCTATTTTAACGCTTCGATGCGCATTTCACAGATCTACTATCAAGTAATATCAAGTAGTTTGATTTTACTTGATATCAAGTCAAGTAGTTCAGTCCGAAAATCAAGTCAAGTCAAATATCAAATTTTTAAAAGCTTGAGTTTTCAAGTCAAGTCTTTAGGAAAAAAATCAAGCTACTTGTCTTGATGAATCTCTATATCACCCATAATATATATCCTCGTACATTTGCCCTTAAATTTTCCAACATATCCATCTATGGATATACCTGCATCGGGTTTGACCGGTGGGTGGTTGGTGAGTGGCGAGTTTAGTCATAGCACCGTTGCTAGGTGGTCCGTATTGTCGGTAAGGTGTGACAGATTTCTAAACCGTGGACTAATTATATGCGCTTGTTTGACTGACTTGTTTCATTCAATGTTTTTGTTATACCTACATGTTCATAGCTATTTCAGAGGATCTAACTCTCTGAACTTATGAAGCGCAAGGTCAATCTACTGGTTGCCATTATTTCCTGATGAAAGCATATACACCGTTTGCGGCAATCTACGAAGAATACCAGCATCAGTAGAGATGCATATAATAAGTTACGGAATTAAAAATTGCGGTTTTGATAAAGTTACCCACTCAAATGCGGATATCGAAGGGCGCCGTGGCACCGTCCAAGCCCTTGCCTGAATGTTACAATCATCGAAACTGCCTGTGCCTGTAATTTCATGTAAAATGGGAAACATACAAAAATACGTAAAATTCAGTGCTTTTGAACTGAAGATAGCTAACCTAATGCCATATTCGCGCGTCCAAAAAGGTATCCGTGATAAAATAAGATACCGAAGCGTCATCTATGAGAAATTATCACAGCTGTTTATCTATTTATTCTGTATACAGGACTACCTATGAGACACGGAATCTTATTTTTTCTCAGATAATTTTTTGCATGTGGGAATATAGCACGAGGTTGCTATCTTTAGGTAGAATACGTTAATCAAGGGTTGGATACAACGGAATATTTTTCTATTAGTTTTATTGCCACGATAATCTATTGATAGAATCTATTCATTATGCTACAAAATCTACTCATTCACTTTCAATCTATTTAAATTATGAAAATATGCGTGCGACCATGTAATATATATATATATATATATATATATATATAAAAGAAACACCTTCGATTGTACTTGTGTGGTACGGTATTTTCCTCATCTTCACATATCGGAAAAATGCATTACGTTATTAGAAAATTAAATACGTTGCATCGTCAGTTAATTAAATATAACTTTTTCTTTCGATATTATAGTAAATAACATTACACGCTTGAAATCGCAGCAGACACTTTCTACATGAATATGAATATGATATTCGCAATAATAATATAAAACTATATTACTCATCGATAAATTCCAGGAATTATTGGGCGCATTTAGGGAAAGACAGCACTGCAGCTTTTAATGTGAACTGATATTTATATTAACCTATTATTATGTTTCTTCTTTAATTGTATCTCATCCTCACTACCGATGGGGAATAGTAATGTTTAAATCAACAGCAAGTAAGTGCTTTAGAGAGTGTAGGAACAGATAAATTCATCATAAGTTCAATAGACAGAGGACAAACATTCGGCTAAACCATATAAGCAGAATAGAATGTATAATATTATGAAAATTTCAAAATCGGAAGCTACAAAGAAATATCTCAGCTTTTGGGATTACACTCTATGACGGATATTTGTATATGCACGATTGTTATACTTTTTAACAATTAGATCGTAATTTAAAAGAGACAATAACAAAAAGGAAAGCCAGTCAAAATTTTTCTCCAGTCATTATTTCCTCTGTAACGTAGTTTGCATAACCTTCTTGTACAAGCTTGACTTTATAAGTCACTATACCCTATTCCTATTATCTGTTTTATCGCATCTTGTATAATAAAGATGTGCTTTGACATATAATTAAAATTATGGCTTTCGAATGTGTAACCATCAGGCTTATGTCGCAAAAATTTACGAGTGAAACGGCAGACTGTATATTTTATGTATATCCGAGACACAGTCCGGTTTCCGACGGAAACCCTCATAACCTATAAAGAATCAACCGTCCTGCAGTCATTCCACTTATTTTATTATACTGCTTATTGGTATACATATAAAATACTTCCAGTTTAAAAACACATGAACATGAAACACATCTTCAGTTCAACACCTCGAATATAACTACGTCAATAAGCAATTTCCATAACTATTACCTGATCGATAAAGTAATCGTCCAGTTTCCTGCCTTTTAATGCATATCCTTGTTAAAAAGGTACACCGAAAGGCAGTATCATAACTGCCATTATGCTATTTTCACTAATTTCAAACGAGAAACTCCATTTTTTTGCAAAATTGTGCACGACGTTACTAATAGAAGTGGAACGTGATCCTTCCGCGCCCGAGATCTGTTAGTAACTGAGTCATAACACACTTGATTAACAGTAACACGCTATCAACATTGCATGGTGAATGGGAGCTGTACTAGCAATGCAATAGGTGGAAATTGCCGCAACTTTTGTGAAAAGTTGTGCATTATTATATTACTCATTTTTTTATATATTTTTCATTTTGGAAATCAAGTTACGTGTCAAATTGGGTTCAGTATAAGGATATTAAAAATAATCAATATTATTAAAACCGATTATTTAGTTAATCGATTTCAAATAACCGATGTTTTTAATAGATGATACAAATTATACTTTTCAATCGATTTTTGTAAAAGGCCCCATTTGTACGGCGGATGAAAGAACCCGTAGTAAATTAAATTTTGGAAAAAATGATATGTTTCTAAGGTCTAATGAAAATTGTTACACAAAACGAGTTTCACTATACAGGGTGTAAACGTTGGAGGAAGGATGTTTGGAGGTTGTGCTTAGAAGAAATCACCTGACAGTAGATCTTCTGCGCATGTCAGTTTCTTTAGTTCTCGCTTCAGTGCAGGTACCGATATCACCGTAACAAAACCGTCCCAAATCGATCCCAAATCGGATTGGAACACAATGCAGAACACTTCTGTTACTGTGACGGACAAGGTTGGAAAACTTTTTCCTAAATGCGCAAGCGCGTTACCGTTCCAACACGGTTCTACGACGGGTTGGAACAAAGCTATTGTTGGCTGGTCCTTAGTAAGCGTATTTAAAATAGACCGGCAACCATTGAGACAGCAGCTCTTTCATGGTTACTTATTAGCCCTGCAATCAACGCGGGTTTTAAAAATCTCAAAAGACAAATGATACTTTTGAAGCAGAAGTTGAGTGAGCCAAACGAATAAACTCTTGAATTTGTGTTCCATGTTTAGCAAACATCCTGTATACAAATCTGGCTCCTCCTACAGACTTGAATGTACCGTTTTTATGAATCTATGTAGATGGCATGCTAGTTCATACACACATAAACCTGAACGGAAGGTCCATCCGTCTCCACTAGATACCTATTAGATACTTTGTTAGAACTATGCCAGCTCCTTTCAGGAAAATTCCCGTTATATATGCAATAATTTATCATTCGTTATTAATTATGCGTTTTATTAATCTGACAAAAACACAGTTGGCATTTGGAATATCTGTTATTAGACTCTCTTTCAACCGGTAATCACTGGCGTAGAACCTTGGAGAAATCTGCAGGCTGATTAGCGGTGGTTTCGCATTTTTTCGACAGTCATACACAGCGAGGTAATTAAGCTCGCTAGAAATACATGCGAAAATTTTAGGAATCCTGCGGAACAGGATGGTGAATCTAGGTATTAATAATTATATAATGTCCAATATCCTTCCGTTATTAAAATGATATTAAAGTTGATGTGTTAGTCGTAATAACAGTATACGGTTCAGTAAAATTGAAAAGTACATCCAAAGGTAAGAAATATAGTTCCTACAAACATAGATCTCACAATGTCCCATTACCAAGATACGAGTACATGGTATTACAAAAACTGTTTCTGTAATTTTTGAACCTAGATGCCCCAGATAGTGTTTCTTCCTGTCCTTAGTTTCGTTGTTTTCGTTTCATCATTAACTTTGCATTGTTCAAATGGTTATCTATCTGCCTTCGCTTATTTGTTTATTAAAATTGCAAACAGTACAACTAACTTCATTTGTTTTCGAGAGTTCAACCATGCATCTTCTACATTCAGTTGGGTTAGAAGTACCTTCAATTTCATTACAATATAATATCTCCTTTCTTATCAGAAATCCTGATAGACCCATATCTTGAGAAAAAATTACTCTTTAACAATTTACTCTTTCTACTCTCCACATGCCAGAAGAGATTAAAATTATTTAATGTCATTTGTGACAATCTACATATACTTTCCCATGCACTGAGAGCAGTATTCATTAGATCAAAGTTGTCGGATCCAAATAAGTATGATGTTTATAATCTACCATTATCACACAACTTATACAAAGTGCAATTATCAAAATAGATGCTTCAATTTTGTGGAAAAGTCATACTTGATAAATAATTATCTGTGATCATGATAAATCTGTTGTGATGGTCTATAGGGACATCTTTGCTATTTATATGATTATTATAGTAAGATGACCAAGCAGAACAAGTATACTCGAAAATGGATCTCACTGTTGCGCAGTATGTCTTTTAAAGAAAAAATGCATTCAGTGTTCAAACAACAAACCCCAATAGTTTAATTACCTTATAGGTTATATATTTAATGTGATTTTTAAAAGAAAGATTATGATCCATAACAAGCCAGAAGTCTTTTATAATATTTGTAGGAGGTAGACGGTAGCTGCCTGTCGTATGCGGAGGTACCACCCGGCGGATCTCGTAGGCGGGGCCAGAATGTGTGCATGTTGCATGCACAGGTGTTCCCTTGGTAGAGTCCGTGTGGCATCCCCCCCC